TCCTTGTCCCACCTACTTCCTGCCTGGCCACTGGCCAATCAGTGTTTTATTTATTGACCAATCAGAGCAATTTGACATACAGACCATCCCACAGCATGTGTGTGTGTGTGTGTGTGCGCGCGCGCGCACTCTCACAGCTCACACTCATGGAGGCAAGACGTTAATGTTTTAGGGTTGGGTATCTTCATCTATCACTCTCCACCCTATTCTTTTGACGTAGGGTCTTTCAGTGGACATGGAACCCTCTCTTTCAAGTAGACTGGTAGGCCAGCTAGCCCCTGGGATCCACCTGTCTGCCCCTCCAACATTGCAGTGACAGGTATGTGCTGCCCTGACTGTCTCTCTCTCTCTTTTTTAAACATGGAAGCACTACCCACAGAGGCACCTCCCCGGCCCCCACTGAGCACAAGCTTTAACCTACCCATATTGCTGTCTGTCGGTGCAGTCTAGACCAGCTGCAGCCGGCCAAGAATGCTGATGGCATCAATGGCATCCGAGGGTGACTTTGAGAGAGAACAGAAGGGGGCCTGAAACAGCTCACTCGGTGACAGCGACATCAGGGGAGGTCAACACTCTGCAGGCGAATCGTCTGCTTTGAGAGTTCTGCCTGTGTGTGTAATAGAAAACTGCTTGACATCTCGTGCCTACCCCTGATTTCCTGAATTTTTACCAGGGAGTCTGGACTCTTTGTCCCGAGTATCATGACCCACTTTAGTTATAACTGACCAAGAGACGGTTTCTCCCCAGTGGGCTTGCGTTGCATACACAGTGGAAGAACTGGAGCAGGACTCGGTACTGGGAAGATTTCAGAGCTGGGTTTAACCCTTGCTCTGCCACTAGCCCATTAGGGCCCCCGGGCGCGGGCCCCCCCCCCCCCCCGCCCCGATTCCCTGCTTATCTGGTCTTTACCGCTCTCTGACCAGGCCATGTGGGCACTGAAGTCACTATGTATTCCAGGTGGGTCCCAAATTCACAGTGATCCTGGGACCTCAGTCTCCCAAGGGCTGGGACTATACCGTGTGAGCAGCCGTGGCCAGGTAAATGGAGAGTTGTAAAGAGGGGCCTTTGGGCTTAAAAGATGAGTAGGTCCTTGGTGGTGACTAAAGAGGCGGGCCTTTATAGAGAGACAAGCACAGCTCAGAGAGAGAGCTGTCAGGGGAGGGGCTGAGGGAAGGAGGACCCCCCATTCCCCAAGAAAGGAGAGAAGATGTGGACAAGGTCTTTGAGTCTCCTGCGTGGGAAGGAGAGCCATGAAAAGGGTTTAAACCTGGGGCAACCTCCTCCTTCTCTCTCCCAGTCGCTCTTCAATGCCTGCCACAAGCTCCCAGCAGGTGAAGCGCCATTGTGTGTCACTGTTGGGAGTTTCTCAACATCTGCCTCCATATCCCACAGATCAGCCTGCGGCAGCAGCCCACCTCACTCACCACTGCCGGGAGTAGGGGAGCGTAACCGTATTCCCGCTTTTGGTGGCAGGAGAATCAGGAATTCAAGGCCATCCTTAGCTATGTAGTGAAGTAGTGAATTCAAGACCTGCCTAAGCTACAGGAGTCTGTATCTAAAAACAGCAACAGCAACAGAACACGAACAACAAACAGGGAAGAAAGTGCCGCACACTTCTGAGCTCGGCACAGGGAGGTCAGAAACAGGCAGGCAACAAGGCCCCTGTGAGTTTGAGACTGGCATGATCTACATAGCAAGTACCATGCCAGCAAGGGCTACATAGGGAGCCCCTGCCTCAACAACAGTAACAACCCAGAGGCTAGAGAGATGGCTCAGTAGTTAATAATACTCATTACGTGATCATAAAGGCCAGAGGTCAGATCCCAGCATCTGCCTAGTAAGCTAAGTGTCCCCCAAACACGATACCTTCTTTTTGCCTCCATATGTGTATCTGTACATACACCTGTGCACCTGTACACACACCTGTGCACCTGTACATACACTGTTCACCTGTACATACCCCTGTTCACCTGTACATACACCTGTGCACCTATACATACACTGTGCACCTGTACATACACCTGTGCACCTGTACATACACCTGTTCACCTGTACATACACCTGTGCACCTGTACATACACTTGTTCACCTGTACATACACCTGTGCACCTGTACATACATTTGTGCACCTGTACATACACAGGTGCATCTGTACATACACCTGTGCACCTGTACATATACCTGTGCACCTGTACATACACAGGTGCACCTGTACATACACAGGTACATCTGTACAGATGCATGCGCATAGTGACAGCCAAAACGTTTCACTACCCAAATGTTAGGGTCTCAACCGGAGCAGTGCCGGATCATCCACCTCCCACTCCATCCCTTCTTCCTACTGATAGAGATGGGGAGTGTCTGGGATTCCAGAGAAGGGGGCTTGAATGTTATTCCTTAATTATTTCCTCATGAAGCTGACTTGTTTCCACACAGTTATTAGAGGGATGGAATGGATGCTCTTGAAAGGACCTTCTACAGGTGGTGATGCACGCCTTTAATCCCAGCACTCGGGAGGCAGAGGCAGATGGATCTTTGTGAGTTCGAGGCCAGCCTGAGTGAGTTCCAGGACAGCCAGGGCTACACAGAGGAACCTTGACTCAAAAGGTAAAAACCAAAACAAACAAAAAGAACCTTCTAGCAACAGGGCAGTGAGGACTCATCTGAGTGAGCAGAGTCCAAGTCCCAACTAAACAAAGGCTCGGGGCGGAGCCTCTGCCTTTCAGAAGTATCCTTTCTTGCTAACAAACACAAGTGTCCTCAAAATTCCTGCCACTCATGGGGCCCCCATCAGAGAATTCTGAAGCATGTGATTGCTTTCCTGCTTGAGTTTTCCCACACACATTGTCTGGTTCTAGAATTTTCCCTGAATACAGAAGACAGCGTGAGAAGAGGCTCTGATGAAGAGTCCATTCCCTCCATGCAGCTCACCGACCTCCTCTCTGTTGTCGGCCACCCAGGAACTGAGGAAGGTACCAGAGGACACAGGTGGGCCTATCCATGGATGGTGGCTAATGGAGTCTCGTTTCTTCAGACCAAGGAGTCAGTCCCAGAAGGGACCGAGTCGAGGCAGTTTGGGTCTGGAGGGAACAACTTTATTTTTGCTACAGATTCCTGATACTAGCAGTTATTGGGCACCTGCTGTATACTCAGCACTGTATCAGGTGCTGGGGAGGGAGCCAACGCAGTCATTACTCTGAAGCTGGAGGACCACCCTGGCACCCGGTGAGCCGTTTGCCTTGTAAGGACAGCGGAAGCTGTTAGGACCTGAGAACTAACCAGTGATCTAGGCGCGAGATAGAGCCTCAAGCTTCACGGCCAGAGTCCACTCATGGGACACGTTACTTAATGCCAATGGGAAACTGTTTTGTTTTAATTTTTCGAGACAAGGTTTCTCTATGTAGTTTTGATGCCTGTCCTGGATCTCACTCTGTAGACCAGGCTGGCCTCAAACTCACAGAGATCCACTTCGCTCTACCTCCCAGTGCTGGGATTAAAGGCGTGTGCCGCCACCGCCCCAGCTGCCAATGGGAAGTTATAAAATCACTTTAAAGCATTTTCCTTCCACAAGTATCTGATTCTTTAATCAATTAGTCCATTCCATGCACGTCCAGCCCTATAGATTTGCCTACAAAGCAACACATACACACACACACACACACACACACACACACACACCCCTATAAGGGAGGTATGGAAGAGGCTCACTACCCATCCTTCTGGGTTCTTTGAGTTACAAATTAAACTAATATAAGACAGACTAACAGGAGAAAAACATACCTAATTACAGGCACAAGCATAGGAGTCTCACAATATGAGTGAGCCCTGAAGAAGGGCCAGACGATTCAAGTTTACAGAGCATCCTGAGCTACAGAAAGGCAAGGGGTGGGGGCTTCTGGAAGGCGGTTCTGGGGACACTTCTGGGAAGAGAGTGGCATGGTCAGGGAACGGAGAGGGGTCTGTGCTCCTGGGGAAAGGCCTCATTCTGTCTCTACTGCCTCGGTCACAAATCCCCCAGCAGCAGGATTTGGCATTGTGATGGGAGAGAAGGAAATGGCCCAGCTGCTAAGGAAGGCCAGGGAGGGCTCCATGTGACCAGAGCGAGTGAGAAGAGAAGAGACGAAGCTGGGATGGGGGAGCCCCATTGGGGTGTGGCGTACGTCTTTTGAAACACCCGGGAATGGAGCTTTATCTCCCTTTCGAGATTACTGAAAAGTACAGAGTGTCACGGCTGGGCGAGTCCCTTCACGTTCAGCTGACTTCCGTCGGGAAATGTGTGTCTCAGATTGTGGGTCAGTGAGACCGGTAAAGGCACTTGCCACCGAGCCTGATGAACTCAGGTTGCTCCCCCGGGGCTAGGAGTGAGAACCGGCTCCTGTCAGGTTGTCCTCTGACCTCCACACACACATGCGCTTTGTGGTACGAGTGCACACACACACACACACACACACACACACACACACACGCACGCACGCACACACACACACACACACACACACACCTCAGGCACATACAAAATAAGTTAAGTATAAAAACTTTAAGAAGTGACACCTGTCAGGACTGGAGAGATGGCTCGGTGGTTAAGAGCACTGGCTGCTCTTTCAGAGGACTGGGGTTCAGTCCCCAGCACCCACACGACAGCTCACAATGGTCTGTGACTATCGCTCTAGGGGATATGATACTTCTGGCCTACTTGGGTGTCTGTGCTCATATGCTCATACCCATATATGCACACACATACCTACACACAATTAAAAATAATATTTGGGGTTGGGGATTTAGTTCAGTGGTAGAGCGCTTGCCTAGCAAGCACAAGGCCCTGGGTTCGGTCCTCAGCTCCAAATTAAAAATAAATAAATAAATAAAAATAATAATAATATTTATTTTTAAAGTTACATCTGTACCTAACATGTAAGGGCTGTCGTCACCCTTTCTGGAACAATACATGAACAATTATATAGTGTCTACATTGTATAGCTGTCACAGATAATCTAGAGCTGAGGTGAAGAGCACTGAAAGACATCTACAGACGATCTCCAAATGGCTCATGGTGTTTTATAAGGGACTTGTGGACGTGAGTATTTTGGTTTCCACAAGGGGACCTGTAGATACCACGGAGGACTGTACTGATCACGGTCATACAGACAAACGGCAGCCATCCTCATGAACTGAGCACTCGCTATGGGCCACACACTCGTCTTGGCTCCCCATGGCAATCTTCTCTCTGGGTTCTCACAACTGCTAAAGAGGAAACAGATGGGGCTGGAAAGGCGGCTCAGCAATTAGGAGCACGGTGTGCACTTCCAGAGGACCCAGGTTCAATTCTCAGCACCCACATGGCAGCTCGCAACTGTCTGGAACTTCAGCTCCAAGGGACTTGACATCCTCACACACGCGCGCGTGCATGCAGGCAAAGCACCAATTCATATAAAATAAAACTAAATAAAGTATTAAAAATTAAAAAAAATAGAGGAAAGAGATGTAGGGAGGGTGAAACTCACCAAGGTCACAGAGCTAGGGAAAGGCACAGCTGGATTGGAACCCATGTCTTCTGGGATCTACCTCAGCTTCTATATATAGTCAGCCATCTTCTGAATCCAAGCTGTCTTGCTGTCTGTGAAGAGGCCCCAAAATAGCTTGACCACACAGCAGCCATGACAGGCTTAGGGGCCTAGACACAGCTTCTGTGACAAGCTAACTGGCAGGCAACATCCATATCCAGAAAAAGCCTTAGGTTGATACCACCCAGGGATCCACCCAGGGATGAGGAAGAACCTGACCTCCCAAACATTCCAACCATTAGAAAAGGTGGCCAGATGTCCTTGAGTCTAGCACGTACCTATTTTTGTTTTACAGATACTCTCTATTTTTGTTTTACAGATACTCCTAGACAATTGTCAGCCAATCAGGGTCCTGGACCCTGGAAATCCCCTCACCCCAACCTCTGCTATAATAAAAACTCTGCCCCACCTGAGCTCAGGGCTCTCTGCTCTCACCGCTGTGTTGGACAGACAAAGGGACCAAGCTCTCGAGCTTGAATTAAAGGCTCTTGGCTTTTACATGCCAGATTCGGTCTCCTTGGTGGTCTTTTGGGGATCCCCGAGATCTGGGCATAACAGTCTTAGGGTTTCTGTTGCTGTGATGAAACACCCTGACCAAAGAGCAAGTTAGGACAGAGTTTATTCAGCTTACAATTCCACATTGCCTGTTCACACTGAAGGAAGTCAGGACAGGAACTCAAACAGGACAGGAACCTGGAGGCAGGAGCTGATGCAAAGGCCACGGAGGGGTCCTGCTTACTGGCTTGCTCCTAGTGGATTGCTCAGCCTGCTTTCTTATAGAACTCAGGATCACCAGTCCAGAATGGCACCACCCAACATGGGCTGGGCCCTCCCCCATCAATCACTAAATGAGAAGATGCCTTACAGCTGGATCTCGTGGGGGCATCTCCTCAACTGAGGCTCCTTCCTCTGATGACTCTAGCTTGTGTCAAGTTGACAGACAAAACCAGCCAGTACAGAAGCCTTGAAGAGTTTTTCCCAGCACAGGAACTGTTTTGAATTGCCACTGCACATTACTAAATACAAAGTTACCCTGTCAAATGTTTCCCTTCCATGAAATTGATCAAAGTATGCCATGGGCAATTCCGCCCCCAAGGTGCTCTCAGCGATTCACCTTCATCCTGTGAGGATGCAAATCACCCACCCAATGGCCTGTGATTTTGAAACAGATGTGAACTCATGGAGAACTGTTTAAAAAATAATTTTATAAAATCATAATCTGGCTGGGCAGTGGTGGTGCACGCCTTTAATCCCAGCACTCGGGAGGCAGAGCCAGGCGGATCTCGGTGAGTTCGAGGCCAGCCTGGGCTACCAAGCGAGTTCCAGGAAAGGTGCAAAGTTACACTGAGAAACCCTGTCTGGAAAAACCAAAAAAAAAAAAAAAATCATAATCTCCTCCCTTCCTCACACAAGTAGGGACAGGGGCTGGGGTGTGGGGTCAAGATAGTGAACAGAAAATAGAAAAAGACCTCTTAATTCCACGGACGCCTCTGAACTCTAACGTCTGACTAACGACTCTGAGGTATCTCCTCCCGTCCCTGCTCATCTGCTCTTGTCACTGTACCTCACCAGGCCTCCTTGTCCCTCTGGAGCACACTGAGCCTGCTTCCTTTCCCAGGACCTTTAACTCACCTTTCATGATGTAGCCAGAGAGCCTTCTATAAAGTCACACCTACACCGATGATGTGCTTCTCTTGCTCGCAGCAACTTAGAAAGTGTCACAGCAGCGGCAGGAGGTCGAGGGACGGGGAGAGGTGCAGAGTTCCTGTTTGGGAAACCACAAAGGTTGTGGCGATGAACGTGCATGACGTGTATGTGTGTAAAACACTGAATTATCCATTTAAAAACAGTTACGGTGGGGTTGGGGAGGTGGTCGGTGAATAAGGGGCTTGCTGCTCAGGTATAAGGACCTGGGTTCGAATCCCCAACACCTATTCTATGTTAAAAAAAGAAAAAAGAAAAGAAAAGAAAAAAAGAGGAGGGGGCATGGTGTCATGCTTCTCTAACCCCAATGCTGTGGCCAGGGAGGGAGGCAAATCCCCAGAGCTCACTGGCCAAGCCAGTCTACCCAATCTGTGAGCTCCAGGCTCAGTAAGGAGACTCCATCTAGCGGGGTAGTGGTGGTGCACGCCTTTGATCCCAGCACTCGGGAGGCAGAGGCAGACGGATTTCTACGTTCAAGGGTAGCTTGATCTACAGAGTGAGTTCCAGGACAGTCAGGGCTACATAGAGAAACCTTGTCTCAAAAAACCAGGAGAGAGACTCTTTAAGTCCATCCATCTAAATTAAAAAAAAAAAAAATGTGGTGGAAGGTGACATTTGATACCTACCTCTGGTTTCCACATGCACCACATACATAAACACATACATCACACATACACATACAAATAGCTAAAATGATTATATATATATATATATATATATATATATATATATATATATATATCTCCACAATGCAAAGTTAATTTAAAAAAAATAGAGGCCTTTGGTAACCTCAGGGAAATGTTCAAAGATCTTCAGACTTCCATCAGCAATTCATACTCCACTCCATCCACGCCATACACACTGTCTTCTGATCACTCCGTTCCCAACACGCCATACTTCCTCACTATGGCGGTTTGAATGAACACTTGGTCACCTGTTGTTGCCTGTTTTTTCATTATTTACAGTGACTGCAACTCACAGCTACCAGTAGTGGTTAGGCCAAAAAGGCCATAGCCTGAGGGAAATCTGTTTCCTCAGGCACCCACTCTTCCCAAAGCTATTAAGGGAAACTCCATCTAGATCTCTATCCCTCTAAAGAACTCACCATTCAAATGTTGAGGTGGAATTCTGCCCACTCAGAGAGGCTGAAAAGCAAGTAGCTAACCTTCCCCCTTTGCGTGTTCCAAAAACCCGGGTGTCCTTCTGCTCAGCCCCCACTTAAGAACCCTAGCTACAGGTGGTTCCTCCTTACCACTTCCTGTCAGCTACTTGCGGACTCAGCCTCCTGCTTGCAGGTTAAATTTATTTAATTAAACGGATGTAAACACATCTTTGTGTTGTTAACAAAAGCAGTAGGAGCCGGGCACTGGAGAGGCAGAGCCAGGCGGATCTCTGTAGACCAGCCTGGTCTACAGAGCTAGTCTGGGACAGGCTCCAAAGCTACAGAGAAACCCTGTCTCAAAAAACCAAAAAAAAAAAAAAAAAAAAAACCCCAAAAAAAACAAGCAGTAGGAAAATATGCAACACACTTTAAAATAATATTCCACAGCAGTCACCAGCTGGTGGCCCTGTTTGGGTAGGTTTAGGAGGCGTGGCCTTGCTGGAGGAAGTATGTCACTGAGGATGGGCTTTGAGGTTTTAAAAGCCACACACCATGCCCAGTTTGTTATCTCTGCTTCCTGTTTGTGGTTCCAGATGTGATTCCAGATGTGAGTCCTCAGCTGCTGCCGCAGCTGGGGTGTCTGCTGTCTGCTGCCATGCCGCTGCCCTTATCATGATGACCCTAAACCCCTGGAAGTGGAAGCCCAAAGTAGATCCTTCCCTTTGTAAGACACCTTAGTCACGGTGCTTTATCACAGCAGTAGAGAAGTGGCTGACACATCATGATTCCTCATCTCTATTCCTCACCTACCCTTCCTTTTCTCTGGAAGGTTCTCTTCTTCTCAAGGGCTAAGAACAGATTAATGTCAAGACCGATTTACCAAGTCACCTCCTGGCTTAGTGACTTTACAATTGCTGTGATAAAACACCAAGTCCGAGGCAATTCACAGAAGAAAGAGTTTATTTGTGCTTAGGTTCTGGAGCAGTGGTTCTCAACCTTCCTCATGCTGTGACCCTTTCATACAGTTCCTCCAGCTGTGGTGACTCCCCCCCCCAACCAAAAGTATCTTCGTTGCAACTTCATAACTGTAATTTCGCTACTGCTATGAATCGTAACATTAACATCTGTGTTTTGCGATGGTCTTAGGCGAGCCCCTGTAGAAGGGGTTGTGACCCACAGGTTGAGAACCTCTGTTTTAGTGGGTTAGTGTCCAGGATGGGAGAGTGAAGGCACCGTGGCAGAAAGCTGAGGGCTTTCCTTGTGAATTGCAAGCAGAAAGCACAAACTAGAAATGGCTAAAGTCTTTAAATCCTCAAAGCCCGCCCTCAGTGACATTCTCCCTCCAGGAGGCCACACCTCCTAAACGTACCCCAACAGTCCTACCAACTGGGGACCAAATGTTCAGATGCCCCAGACTCTGGGAGACATCATTCCTCTCTGCAAGCCTTCCCACCTGGATATGACCTTCTGCTCCCAGACACAGGCATGTCTTTGTCCTCTCAGTCCCTTTAAGGCCCAGCAGACAGTAATAAATATTTGTTAGCTCTTAGTGAATAGCATTTTTGTTCTTATCATAGCGGAGCTGAACAAGATTCACAAAATGATGGAATTCATTTCTAAGAAGTGTGATGTAATCCAGTGGCAGAATAGTCCCTTTGGCAAGAAGGAGCTTTTTGTGAGTCTAGGAAAAGGTTGAGTTGAGCTGGGAAGAGGATCCTAGGTAGAGGCCTCCATAACAGTCATGTTTCCCCTGCATTTTCTAGAGAGGGGAAGGTGAGATCCAAGTTGAGCCCCTTCCAGGCTCCCCAAAGCTGTTGCCTTTTTCCACCATTCAGTCCAAAAGCCCAAATATAAATGAAGAAGCTGTGTGCTATTTGGAGGCTGCCCAGACTCTGAAGCCAATCTGTGCACGATCGCTCCCTGTTTCTTAGTGGAGAGTGGAGCCCACCTTCTTAGAATGTGCGTATCTCAGAGACTTCTTTTCCAAATGACCTGGCATCTAGGTGTGGCCGAGGACTCAGGCATGGTCATATCCCATCCCAAGGTTTAGTATCTGGAGTGAGGCACTTAAAGAGCAGGGATCATGGAGGACGTCTTTTAGGGGCATCATTACACTGGTCCCATGGGTTCCAATAAGAGTGGCACCATGGCAGGGAATGGGATCCAAGGTCTGGTGCCTCATGTCCAGAGAGTCAGGGCAGTGTGTTCTATGCCAGCTGGCAGAAGCCATGGAGTTCATCTGGGCAAGGACTTCAGGGTGATTCAGGTCGTAGCTTAGCCAACCGCCACCTTCGGTCTTCCTTATTCCGTTGATTTGGTCCATCATTCTCCCTTGCCATCGGTAAGAATAAGGGAGTAGGGCTTTATTATATATAATAGGAGAGGTATGTTTTTGTTTTTGTGTGCTTGGGATCACACCCAGTGTTGTGCACATGCCAGGCAAGTGCTTTACCGCTGAGATACCCATCCTTCGGGATTCAGTATCAAATGTAGACTAAGCTGGGTCCCCGTTCAGAAAGGGTGAAGGGAACATCTCAGTTAGGGTGTCTATTGTTGTGATGAAACACCATGACCAAAGCAACTAGAGGAGGAAAGAGTTTGTAGGGCTTTCTCTACCACACCGAAGACTATCATTGAAAGAAGTTGGGACAGGAACTCAAACAGGGCAGGAACCTGGAGGCAGGAGCTGATGCAGAGGATCATCATGATGGAAGGGAGCGGATTACTGGCTTGCTCCCCATGGCTTGCCCAGCCTGCTTTCTTATAGAACCCATGACCACCAGTCCAGGGATGAAACCACTCACCATGGGCTGGGCCCTTCCCCCATCAATCACTAATTAAAAAAAATGCCCTATAGACTTGCATATAGCCTGATCTTATGGAGGCATTTTCTTAACTGAGGTTCCCTTCTCCCAGATGACTTTAGCTCGTATCAAATTGACATAAAACTATCCAGGACAAAACATGTATTTTCTGAGCACTTATTAGGTAAAAACCCAGTGAAGGAACTTAAAAGTCTTCATTTGTTTGTTGGTTTGTTTTTTCATGGATATCGGAGGACCCCTGTGTGATGACTCCATCAGGGAGCAGCCAGACCTCTGAGAATTGCTGACAGGTCCCTGACTCTCCCCCATCAATTCCACCCTCTACTCATCTGCTTCGGTTTGCAGCAAAACTTCAAAATGAGCCTCCAGACCTCAGCTCTTGACTCGCATGAGCAAGCGGCAGCTACAACTTCCTGTGTGCAGACCCAAGCCTGCTGCTCTGCCCTTGCAAGCTAAGCTCTGGTTACACTGACTCCTGCCCACCCCCCACCCCCCTGTGTGTGTGTGTGTGTGTGTGTGTGTGTGTGTGTGTGTGTGTGTGTGTGTAAACTGCTCTCACTTGGGTTCATGTTTTAAAGCCACTGATTGGCTCAAGAAGGAACAAGTCGCTGCCCTTCTCCCTTCCTTACAGGAAGTTTGCGCAATAACTGCCGGCCGCTGCCACCGGCTCCATCTGAACACATTCCAGCAGCTCAGCCGCTGTAGACTCCTTCAGAGGGAGGCTCTGTTCAGTCGGTCGGTCGGTCGTCAGTCTGGTGGCTGATGAGGAGCGGGGAGAATGGCTGGCAATCATTTACTCATTAGTATCGATTGCATCAATCACTGACCCAGGGCAGCGAGGCAAGCAGCTCATGGCGTACTGACTGCCAAGCAGGGTGGGGCCATCTCCTTTCTTCCAGGGGCAGCTTTCGATGGGTCAAGCGACAGAGTATCATATGTTAGTGTGTAAGACCCTCAGTACTCTTGTCTGGACTTACCCTGACTGAAAGAAACCCGGAAGAGAAGTTGTTCAGCTAAATTAGGGATCTTATTAACAATTTAAAAAAAAAAAAAAAAGCCTCATCCCAGGCAGGCAGCGGTGGCGTGCACCTTTAATCCCAGCATTTGGGAGGCAGAGGCAAGCGGATCTCTGTGAGTTTGAGGCCAGCCTGGTCTACAGAGCAAGTTCCAGGACAGGCTCCAAAGCTCCATAGAGAAACCCTGTTTTGAAAAAACAACAACAACAACAAAAAAGCCTCATCCTCTCTGCAAAAGGCCTCTTCTTGGGGAATCTCTAGTTGCCAGACCTTCTGGGGCAGTTGGGAGTTTGGTTGTGACTGGGAGAAGGAGGGTGGGGGAGACTGCCTGGATCTTCCACCAAGCACCCACCCCACCCCTCCCCCACCCAGTTAGAGTCACGGGTATCTCCAGCTGTGGCTGGACCTGGGCCAGATCCTGAAGCCATCCTGAGCAGCTCACCCTGTCCCTGGGTTCCTCCTTCCTGCCTTTGTTAATTCATCCCTCTCACCATCCCTTTCTTGGCACCCAGTGTAACCAGCCAGCGCTCAGCTAGGCGCTGAGGCTATGTGGGCAAATCCCACAGACAGAGAGAGCCCTTGCCTTGAGGTACCTTCAGCCTGTGGGCGAGCAGACCAGAGCTGGCCCAAAGTGACTTCTTGCGCAGGAAACCCAGGACAGGTTGAGCTGTCTGAGAGCTGGGCGGGGTAAGGAGCTGAAGGGTAATTCAGAGGAGTGTCATCCCCGTTAGAACTGAGAGATGAGCAGGTAGCCAGATGAAAACGTCAGGGGTCAGGGGACAGCAGAACCAGAGCCCAGAAGAGGAGGAAGGAAAGCCAGGAGCTAAGACAGGAAAGGAACCCAACCTTCAGAACAACCCTGGGAGGGCAGGAAACCACCACCTTCACCATCCCCACTGTACAAAGAGGGAAACTGAGGTACTCAGTGGCCAGGCACCCTGCCGAAGATGCTAAAACAAATGAATGATGGAGTCCTACCTCGACCCCAGGCCATCTGGCTTCTGGGTCCACCCAACACACTGAGCTGCGACTGAGTCTCCGACAGAACTAATGTGGTGAAGGAATAGGAAGGCCTTATGTTGGTAACACGATGGGCCTGCTGAGGGAGCATGTGGTGAGAGTGTATCCAGTCTCTCAGGCACAATGTGTGCTTGCTAAAGCCTCCATGAGCTTGGTGGCTCAGCTGCTGTGGCATTGTAACAAGGCGGAAGGAATCCCACCTCCTCTGGCTGGGACGTGGTCTCCTGAGTGATCTGCAGCCCCACATTTTGTCCAAGCCACTGTGATGGATCACACTGGCTGAGCTTGACAAGAAGGATCTGGACTCTGGGTATGTCTCTAGGGGAGTTTCTAGATTGTGTTAGCTGAGGTGAGAAGACCCATGCCAATTGCTGGTAGCCCTATTCCAAGGGCTGAGGCCCTGGGCTTAACAAAAAGTACAGAGGAGCACCACTGTTCATCCCTCTCTGTGCTTCCTGATTACGGATTTGACGTGACCGGCTACCCTTCCTAAATCACATCCTCCTCCAGGATCTTCCTGCCATGACAGCCTGTATCCTTGAGCCGTTGGTTTTTGTGAAGTATTTTGTGAGGTATTTTGCCATAGCAATGAAAGTACCTAAGACAGTACCTTCCTGGGCTTGGCCTCCTGTCAATCCAGCACAAGAGGCCTCCCCAGGGGTCGCTCTACCAGGGCAGGAAGGGTAGAGATGTGGACTCTTGTCTCCATGGCTCTCATGGCTTCTGATTGTGGTCCCGTTCCCTCTGCAGCCTCCTGATGCCTGAAATCTCTTCCATCGCTCCAGCCCACACTGGCCTCGCCCTCCTCTACTCCCATGGCGCTCATTGTGAGGCACACACAATTGACTCCTGTGTGCTTTGTTCTCTGTTTGGAGTTCACTCATCCGTGCAGCTCTCCCGAATTGTCTGGGGATGAGTCATAATTTGGGTGACTGTTAAAGGTTTATTGCTTTATGTATAAAAACTTAAAAAGCCCCAGGACCCTGGACATTAAAAAGCATATCTCTGACTGCTTGCTCTGCCTGTCCACACTCTCTCCCTGCACACTTCTTTATCATTAGCTAGAAAACTGAAGAACTGGGGGTTTTTCCGCTACGTGAAAAGATGCAAATCTGCCAAGAGTAAGAAAAAAAAAAAAAGGATAACAAGAAGTTTGAAGTTGAGTACAACAAATGTCTTTATACCTTTACACAAAGGTATAAAGACATTTTTATACCTGGGGTGGGGGGTCAAATAAGGACAAGGTAGTGAAATTAAGGCAGTCTCTGACCCCACTCCCTCCCCTAGCATTTTGGCAGAAGAGTTAAAAAATGAACTGGTATAGAGCTCTATTAAAATTCTAAAAATTGAAAAGTATACATTAGAGCTGTGACTGCATGTAGCTCAGTGATAGAGTGCTTGCCTAGCTTGCATGAAGCCCAGTTTATACATAACCTAGGCTTGCAGGGCACTCAGAGAGAGGGAAGGAAGAGGATCCCAAGTTCAAGATCGTCTTTGGTTGCATAGTGAGTTTAAAGCCAGCTTAGGCTACAGGAGACTCCGTCTTTAAAAAACATGTATGTATATCCACAGAGATGCAGCAGTACTTAAGCGCACTGGCTACTCTTGCAGAGGACCCAGGTTCGATTCCCAGCACCCACCTGGTGGCTCACAACCGTCTGTAACTTCAGCTCCAGGAGATCCAATGCCCTCTTCTGACCTCTGAAGGTACATGGTGCACATACATATGTCTAGGCAGAACACTCTTAGCTATAAAATAAATAATAACTTAAAATTTAAATATGCATATATACCCATACACGTAGCACGTGCCTGGTTGAGAACATAACTAACATTCTTTTGTATGTGTGACTGTTAAGGTTCACTGCTGTGCATGTAGGCCCTGGGCTATGTGGGCATGTGCTCCCGATGTCTTAGGTTTTCCTCATCATCTCTTTGTAAGGTTGTTGTCTCTATTTTATCAAGTGGTTGCTTGGATAAAAGCTTCTGGATCCCAGGGCAGCCCTTGAAACAAACCTGAGTTCCGTTCAGAACCACCTGCTGGCAAAGGGGAGCAGATGCTTGTGTCTTATGATCAGCCACTCCTGAGTGGCTGTGGGCTAGGAAACCACGTGAGTGGGCCTGTTGCTAAAAGTCCTTCCCCAGAGGAGATGTCAACAAGGCATTCGCCTTCTCCCAAGGTCCCAATGACAAACTGAGGTGTGATTTCACCAAAGTGTGGGGAATCAAAGAGGTTTTCAGGCTTACTTACGGAGTGTAGATGAAAGGTTACTTACAGGAGTGTGGTCGCTCTCCCCGAAAAGGCTGCCCTGGAGAGTCTTTTGCCAACAGGGATGGTTTTCCCAAAGCCCCACAGACCTAGTCTCCCCTGCCTTATGTACTACAGCTCCCCCCTGAGACACATGCAATTAGGGCAAACTTGTCTACCCCACGTGGAGGGTGAAGGATGGCTGCGTACTCAGCTGAGGGTCCTGTGACTCTCCGACCTTCCTAGTAGGAGATACCAATCGTCAACTATCCTAGCTGGGATGCTCTTTTACAAGTGGACACGACTGAACTCTCGAAGATGGTGGTTGTTTGGGCTCAGTGGGTAATCCTGTACGACAGGGCCTCGATGAACTGCCAAAAGAGGGGGTGCCTCCTCTGCCCTTTACTGAGTTCCAAGTTAAGTGTCCTACCCCTTATTCTCTCTTCTAAACTCCATGTAGGCACATTCCAAAAACTCCAACATCTAAGACAGCATCTGGCACGTGGTAGACCCTTAAGAATCTTTTGGATGGCTGGAGAGACGGCTCAGCAGTTTAGAGCACTGGCTGCTCTTCCAGAGGACCCAGGTTCAATTCCCAGCCCCCACACGGAGGTTCACAACTGTCTGTAACTCCAGTTCCAGGAGATCTGGCATCCTCACACAGACATACATGCAGGCAAAACACCAATGCACATGAAATAAAATTAAAAAAAAAAAGGAATTATTTTGGATCAATCAATGAGAAATTGAGTCAGGATTTGGACAATCTGTGTGAATGCCTCATCTTTGAGGTGTTCCCTGAAGCACCCAGGATCTTCTGCGTTGGCTTCAAGGATTTCGGCACAATCCTATTTTCACAGAGTATCTGAGCACAGCTCTGTTCTCTGGGCTTCTGTGTGCAGTATCCCCGTACCTTTGTCTGTGGGTGGGCACACAGCGAGCACACAACACTAACTGTCAATATGACGGCCTTGCCCTGATGGCCTGAACTGGCTCTCAAAACAAACCTTCACGGAATGCCTTTTGTAGGCAAGAAGAGTCAACAGGGACAAGGGAGAGAGATCTAATTTTGCCCTCTCAAAGAGCACAGAGAGGAGGTTGGAACTGGGAAGAGAAATACAGAAACCATCAAAGAGAACAAGCAAGGAATCAGAGGGTACCCTGCCTGCTCTAGATACATTGGGAGTGAAACAGAGTTCCCATATGAAAATAAAATCAGCTGCCGACTCACCAGTAGATATATACTTAGCCACCCACCAGCCTCAAATAACTAAGCATTGTTCTCAAGACAGTGGTGGCTTATCCCCCACTGCAAGCGTTCAGAGTTCCAGCTGTTGCAGAAAAGTCAGACAGACCTGGTTCTGACTCCTAACTCTAAGGCCTACCAATTGGGTAGGTGATTTAAAGGGTCTGAGCCTCCGAGGAACCAACCAGACTGCGGGGTGTTCAGAGGGCGC